ATTAACCCAATACGGATTTCATTTTTAACGGTTTTTCAACCCTTTCGGTGTTATTTAAAGACGAAACATATTTTTGGTGGTAAGAATACAAACACACACACACACATACACACACATATATATATATAATGATAAAGTGGATATTTTAGAAATCCATGGTTTTTAATGTATCCACTTTGATCATTATTATTTGCTCTGTTCTTACATTGAGCTCTCTTTGTATTTATATCCTCTTTGGAATTATCCGTACTAATTATCAAACAATATTGTATATATATATATATATATATATATATATATATATATATATATATATATATATGTGTGTGTGTGTGTGTGTGTGTGTGTGTGTGTGAAAATTTCTCAGAGTTAAACTGTAGAAAAGATAATATTTATAAATATAAATGAGAATAGGAATAACTACAATAACTTCAGTTTTCCTATTGTCATTTATATATATATATATATATATATATATATATATATATATATATATATATATATATATATATGCGTAAATACTGCTTTAATAGTTTTTTAGATTAACAATGATTTTCCCAGATAAACGTGTTACTACTATTTAACCCATACCTGGAGGAAAAGTGACAGATTCATATATTTACCAAGTGTATTTTAGCAGTGAAGTGAATGAAACGAACCAGATTGGAATTCGAATTCAGGAGCTAATGGGAAAAAAATATAAGATGTGTGCCTCTCTTAAAAATCAGCATTCGAAACCCCAGCAAACTGTTGAGGATTGAACACCAACCTCCTTCATTGTTAACATATTCTTAAAAAAACATAACGCGTTTTAAAAAAGAGCGTTTTTAAATATGTGGTATTTGCACACTTGTTTTCGTTTCACACGGGACTGTAATTTATTATATATACATATTCTGAAAGGTGATATTTAAACGGATATAGCTATGTTTCATGTGTACTGTTAATATTAAAAAAACATTTATACTAGAGGTTGAGAATCATTTCTCCGAATTTCTTGGAACCGGAAGGTTTTCAGATTTTCTCGGATTTCGGAATCCATGACATTTAATTTGTATATAGCATCTATAAGTTGGGGAGGATTGGAATTGGAAATCAAGCATAAACACGATAACCATTTACATTTCATAAAACAGCTTATACTTATATCTTGAAAGTAGGTTTATATAAAATTTAATAATTTTTGTGTATATATAGATACAGCTAATGACCCTTGATTTTGTAGTGGTGAAATTAAGATTTCATGTGAAAATAATGTTTTGTATTTCCTCTTTGTGTACAAAAAACATGTTCACTCCATGCAGAAAATATATAAATGCTCGACTATTTGACATTTTGAATAATATCTTTACTGAGCATAAAACAACTGGCACGTCATCCACGAACGAAGGTGTTGCTGTGATGATTTCTAAGAAAAACGTGGTACCAACCTAGGCTACGTTACTGAGCGGAGGAACTCCCACCCAGGGAAGAAGAGGGCACTAGCAACTGCTGCATATCATCGAGAAACCTTCGCTTTGCTTCCTGAAATTTTCCATTTGTAGCAAGCACCTGAAAAACCTTCGGATTTGGGAGGTTTTCGGGTTTAGGTGAAATTAGAACGAAACGAGGCACATCTTCGTTATTTGATGCTTTTTATCCGGGACAGAAAAAACCCCACTAAAACGGCAAAAAATATGTGCGGTTTATGAAAAAGGTGCCATAGCTGAGAGTAATGTTCATACGTTGTTTACTGTGATCAGAAGTGGAAATTTTGATCTAAAAGACCAAGAGCGCCCCGTCAGGCCTGCAGTCATTGATGATGACCAAATCAAAACGTTGGTTAAATCTTTATATATAGATTGTAGCGAAGCATCATCTCGGGAGCCGATTTCAAGGTGAAATTCAGAAGAATAAGTTGTCTTAGTGGAACTTGGTCTTTACCAATGAAATATGAAGGGAATGAAGGTGAGTTAACTCAGTGTGGGCCACTAGCTGTATGGACTAGGGCATCTAAAGAAAATAGTTCGCCCGAACAACTGGCTTAAAAATAGCAGTTGAGCAACGAGGAGGCTAGGAACGTTTCGTCTGTGAGAAAAGGGCGTGTCATCACCCACAAGGCTGCATAAAAGCTTCTGTACTCAGTCGATACTGGAAAATAAAGATTGGGCAACTCCAGCCTAGATGTAACATCAGCACTTCTTCTTTTTAGCCTGATCTGGCTCCACTAGAAACAGAACGTGCTTTTCTAAAGCAGTACAAGCAACCGAACATTTTTTCAATGTTTTTTGTTATGGATCGCATATGCGAGTTCCATCTGAGGTCTGGTGTATGCTTGAGTCTCCGTAGACCTTCAAGGCAAAGAACCTCATTGACAGTACAGCTACTTATAACTGGAAAAAATCTTGGATCTTTTACTAGAGCGACTATATGAGTTCCAATTGAGGTCTGGGCTGAGTTAGAGTCCCAATAGACGTTCAAAATAAAGAGCCTCATTGAGATTACAACTAGTTGATGTAGCAACATGAGTTAAAGTCAAGACAGCTCGATACGGAACAATTTCGTCTGATGGCTCTCAGAGGACGGCTTCAAAGTACAATAGATGTAGACTAAGAGAAAGTGACGGAAGTAAGATTGTTTGTTTTTTGGGGACGAAGATGACAGGACAAAGATCCTGTTGTCTATAAAGCTCACCATACCGCGTATAGGGAGAACAGAAGGACCGACGCGGGCTTCGCAGAAACACGGACAACCGCTGACTGAGCACCTAAAGGCCTCACTTATGCCTCAACTCGTCTTCGTTCGCTACTGGTTTCCTGCTAAATAGTTGTTGTGTCCGTTATATAAATCGATAAAACTATGTATTGATTGCCTGATAATGGGCTAAGGTAGGGTCCTGATATATTAACTGCAATCATAGCAAAGGGGTATGAAGGCAGGTCAGTTTCCTGCTTTTTAGGATTTACTTTTTGAAGATTTCTAGATTGACAATTGACATGCGACGCATGTACTAATGTAATTGGTGATGTGCAGGTCAAAAGTATTTGCACTTCATAGCTCTCGCACTCTTTTCCAGGATCAAACCATTATCCAGGACTATTTATCTTGAATGGATCAATCCATTCATGGTAATGAGGAGGGTAACTGATCCTTACCAAAACAAAGGTCACATCATTTTACTGTTGAAATTGTCTGATGTACCGTAAGTTCTGTTCAATTAGTTCCTTCTCCCGCACTTCTCGCCTGTGAATATCTCAACCGGTTTCTTTCTTTTCTGTAACTATGATCTTCAAAAATTTAATTACAACGTCAATCACCATCTCTCTTCTTTAATCTTGTTATTTTATTGTCTTTTCTTCTTAATAACCTTTTTTTTTTTTTTTTCAATTTGCTTATCTCTCAGTAACCCCTTGTGTCTTAGTGGTTTTATCTCCCTGTTTAGAAATGATGTAAACAAAGGAAGAATAAATGCCAATTTTACGAACAAGCACGCGAATATGATTTTCCCTTAACACATCAATATTGACCTTTTCAAATCAAGGGTCAATTCGTATCAATCTTTTTTATCCTCATCGCCTTCACTTACTATCACCTCATCTTTCATTAATATCACACACCTCATTCATCATGGCTATTTTGATTGTATCATGTTACCATTAGGGGATCTCCAGCTTCATTAGAGTAAAGTTTTAGCAGAAAATATAATCCTCCGTATTTTAAAATGAACGATCAGTTTTCTTGTACCAGCGAGAGAATTGAAATGAGATTCGAATAGGGAGAAAGATAAAGAACCATAAAATGATACATGAGAGATTGATTTGTTTTGTTTCCTCTTTTCCCATATACAAGCCTTATTATTTAACCCATAAATAGGGAGATATGACTTCATACCTTTCCCAATGCTATTTGCGTGTAAGTGAATGTGCCGAATCCGACTGGAATTCGAGCTCGTCTCTCTGATTTATCATTCTAAGACGCTATCCACGGCTACATCCTGCTAGAAGGAAGCACAAGAGAAAGAGGGGAGCGAAATAGAGAAACAAAAACGAAAGGGAGAAGCCCTGCCCAGGAGGGAGAAAACTTAAAGTAGCGACAGAAAAACAAAGTGAGAGGGGGGGGAAGAGAAAGTGAAAGAAAGGGAGGAGAGTGAAAGAGAAAAAGATAAACGTGAGGAGGTATATTTGTTTGAGAGTGAGATAATTTAAAGAGACGGAGACAGATAGAAAGAGAGAGAGAGGAGAGTAAAATAGATTAGATAAACGGGAGGAGGTAGTTGTGTTCTGAGGCGAGAAAATCTTGAGGCAGAGTGAGAGAGTAAGAGGGAGAAGGAGGGAAAAGGAAAACAGTAGAAGACTAAGAGAAAGAGACGGGCAGAGAAAGGGAAAAAAAGAAGAATTCAAGAAAGAGAGAATGGGAAAGAAAGAAGAAGAGAAAGAGAGAAAGGAAGAAAGGAAAAGAAAGAAAGAAAGAAAGAAAGAAAGAAAGAAAGAAAGAAAAGAAAAGAAAAAGAAATAAAGTGAAGGAGAGAAAAGGAAAGAAAAGATAGTAAGAGAAGGAGAGAAGGGGGAAAAAAGAAGTCTAAGAGAAAGAGAAATATAGAAGGAGATTAAGAGAAAGAGAGGAGAGAAAGGGAAAGAGATTAAGAGAGACAGAGAAAAAGAGAAAGGGAAAGAAAGAAAGAAGAGTGAGAGAGAGAGTGAGATGCTTTTCAGATAAAACTGTAAAGTGAGAAATGGAAGACATCCAAGTGACCCAAGATGATCCTTGAATCAACTCTAAAATTGCTTCTGACAATGACACGTGATAATTTCTAGCTCCTGTCTAGCGTCCGGGCGCCTCGACCCTCAAAAGACTTCGCTATTTTAAACCACATCGACGTCAATCCTTGCCAGTGTTTTTATTAAACGAGTCCCCCGCCGTTTGAGGCAAACACGCCCGTCTACTGGCAAAGGAGATCCAAGACAACATTCCAAAAATTGTAGACATATCAGACGATGATTATCCACAACAATTTTTCGCATTTGCTTTAGAAAGACGTCAAAAAAATCTATGCGGCTTCGACACCATAGGAAAAACATATGGAAATATATGAGTCACTGTAGATTTCAATTGTGATTAATCAATTCGTGCCAAGCAAGGCGATAATGCCTCTAAGACGGAAGGAGCTACTGCGAGAGAAAGAGAATGAGAAGACTTTAGAAGGTACCGAAAACTTAATCCTGAACAAGGAAACAAGGGATAAACCTCTATTTATGTTCGAAAGATTAGGAAATAGTCGGAACCGGACAATAGGCTGACCTATCTACTCCTATTATGGAAAAAAAGTAAATGAATAAATAATAAAAATAAATAGTAAATAAAATTTCAGAGTTTCGGCGGAGACGTTAGACGCATAGAGTTTTCGTATAGACTTTAGAAGGAACCGGAAACCCAATTCTAAAGGGATAAACTTCCTCCTGGTCAAAAGACCAGAGGTAGAGTATGAACCGGACGATAGGCAAACTTATCTACTCCTATTATGGAAAATAAATAAATAAAAAGTAAATAACCTTTCAGATAGGTATATGAAGGCAAACAATCGATTCCTATGTTGTAGAATTTACGAAAGAGAACCAATAAGTAAATACATTGATACAACTGTTGTTTAATTTTTATTTTATTGTATCACTTCAAGAAAGTTGATACTGCTAATAAAATGTAAGGGTTTGCTGTGAAATAAAACGAGAAGACAGACGTGAAGAAAAAGACAATAAATGAACAGGGATCAATTTGATACGTTCATTGTATAATCTAAGATCTGTGTGTGTAATATTGAACTTCCGAATTAAATGAATTGGCAAAGAAAGACATTATGTTGAACAATTAAATATATATTTTTTCTATACAGAATCTGTTACCCATATTTATAAGTCTACCATTCGTCCATACTTAGAACATTGCTGCCACATATGGTCCGGTGCTCCTGCTACTCACCTTGATAAGATCCAAAGAAGAATCAGCAATATTATTGGTCCTGCTCTGGTGGCTCGACTTCTGTCACATTCTCACCGCTGTAAGGTTGCCTCTCTGTGTCTTTTCTATAAATATTTCCATGGTATTTTTTCGGATTAACTCTTTGTTGAGGTATTATGTTGGGTGTAGTAAGAATGGTAAACAATAATGTGTTGTTTTCATATAAGGAATATTATGCTAGCTAAGTTTAATTATAAAACAGTAGATGACCATGCTTCCCCTTACCATTTTTTGCCTTGTGCCACATTTTTGTATATTTTTACAAAATGATATTATTCTTCACTATGGTTCTTGGATTTTTTTACTTTTATGCGCAGTAACGAACTGGCGTCAAGGTCTAATCAATTTTCAATTGAGCTAGCTAGATGTAGTCAAAAGTTTTATGCTAACACTTTATTTTCTCGCACTTCTCGCTTGTGGAACTTCCTTTCGGTTCCATGCTTTCCAACAAACTTTAATCAGTAAAATGTAGTGTGAATCGCTATCGACTGTCCTCCTGTTACGAATTCTTCCATACTGTGTAACCACTTGTGTCTTACTGGCTTTACTGCCTTCCATGATAGGATACCGATTACCAAATAATATTGCGGAAAACAATTTTTCTTTTAATCTATAGGCTTCTGAGTTGATCGACAAATATCTTCTACCAATGAAATAACGAGGATAACGAGATTCTTATTCATGTAAGAAGTTTGATTGGTTAGATATTCATTTCTCTCTCTCTCTCTCTCTCTATATATATATATATATATATATATATATACATACATATGTGTGTGTGTGTGTGTCATTTTGTCTCTCTCTCTGATTATTTTTTTAATGGTCTTTCTGTTCTCAGTCACTGTCTGTTACTCTGTTTTTCGTCTCTCCTCATGTCTCAGTCTTTCTATTTATCCGTCTTATTCTCTTCCCCTATCTGCCACTGTTTATCTCCTAATCTCTCTATGTCTGCCCTCTTCTCTCTCTCTCTCTCTCTCTCTCTCTCTCTCTCAAACTCTTTCATTTTCACTCAGTTTCTCTCTGTGTTTGTCTGTTTCTCAATCTCTCACTGCTTCTCCGATTGTTTGTCTCTTTCTCCTTTTCTCTACAATGCTCTCTCTGTCTATTTCCCTCTCTCAGTTTGTCAGCCTCTATCTTTTCTCAGCGTTTTTATCTATGCCTCTCACAATCACTGTCCCTATTTCTTTAAGCCTCTCCACCCCCCCTCTCTCTCTCTCTCTCTCTCTCTGTTACTTTGTCTGTCTCTGTCTCACCATCTGTTGCTGCCTCTTTCTCTCTGTTGCTCTCCAGTTCCCTATCTTTCACTAAAACTCTCACACTGGTGAGATGTGTGAGACATAGATGTCAGATAATGATTGATATCAATGGCGGGAAGCGTACGTTTCTGATTTTGTTTAAAAAATTTATCTTAATCTTCATATATCAATCTGTATTGCTGATAAAGGTTCTAATGCAATTTTTAACGTCGTGTCTCTTCCTGGTGTTGACGGTCATGTCTCTCCATAGTTTCATCATTTATGTCTCCTTTTATGATACATTTAAAGAACTAGTTAAAGTAATATATATTCGAATTATTAGAATTGCTTCTCTAAAACGGAAATAATTTACGACTGAAGATAATATTTTTAATACGGGAATATAACAAATGTATATTTTAATATCATATAATATAAATTATAATTTCAAATAATAAATATACTATGTTCTTTTCTTTATCTGTTTTGTGAAAGCTTTGGCAGTTTAATAAGGAGGGAGGCAAAGACAAAGAGAGTCATGGAGCATGTAAAGGCACAAACATTCATGGATTTTCGTGTCCACAAAACGGTTGTTCATTTAATACGAGGATGCAAAGGCAGAAAAGGTCATGGATGTTCGTGTCCACAAAATGGTTGGTCATTTAATAAGAGGGTCAAAAGCAGAAAGGGTCATGGGTTTTTGTGTCCACAAAATGGTTGGTCATTTAGTAAACGGATGCAAAGACAGGTCATATATATTTGTTTCTGCGAAAGGGTGGATCGTTTATTAAGAGAGTACAAATAGAGAAACGGACATGATCTTTTGTGTACTTAGGAGTCATGGCGCTATGTTGGATAAAGTAAAAATTTAAAATATTTTCCCAAATTTTGCTGTTTGGGTTTTGTTGCTTGAAGACATTCCTCCAGTACTAGCTATGATTGAAGTTTATCTTAAACTCGAGTTTAAAAGAAATAAAATAAAATAACAAAGATTCATAAAATTTTAAACAAATTAATTATATCTGTATATATATATATATATATATATATATATATATATATATATATAAAATATAAAATATCGACATATGCAATAATTATATGTAGATATATACATAGACAGTGTGGACATCGGTATCGGCATTGCATTGTGACTGTCTTTTTCACCCCTCAAGGTTATGCCCGGTTGTATATCAACGTCATTTTGAGTCGTCTACTCATATTTGAGTAAAAGTTTCCGTTTATTTATTAAACAGTATATTTCCTTATTTTTGACTTACGGTCTGAATATTAGTGAAATCTTATTCTAGAAAAATATGGGCTCTCCGGCAGGATTCCAACATAAAATGCAAATAGAGATCGCATATTTTTCTTTAATAAGATTTTACCAATAGTCGGTCCGGTAGAGGAAAATAAATAAGTATACTGTTTAATAAATTAACCGAGCGTCTAATCAAATATGGGTAACCAATAAAAAGATCGTTTAAAATCATTTTTCAAATGTATTCTCAATTGTCAATTTAATGTAGCGATTTATGTCCACAATCCGGATGTGAAATTAGGTCACCACGGTGTTACTACAACGGAGACGACACACCTTTTCCTCTCCAAAAATTCCTACACGATGATAACTTGACATCTTCCTTTCCCCTACTCACTCTATATGAATCACTATTCATAATTTTTCAGCCGAGAGTAAATCTTTTCCATTTTAATTTGGGTTAGAGGTCTGAAAATTTGAAGCCGTGTTTTATCGATTTCAATGAAACAAAATATCACCTATACTTTTGTTTGTCATTATATAATAAAATATCACCTATGGTTTTTGTTTGAAGGAGAGAGACAAAGACGGAGAGATAGATAGAAAGAAAGAGATGTATATAGATATATATTTAATTTAATATGTTCTTTCTGATAGTTATTCTGGTCAGACAGCGCTAATAAGAGAAATCTTTTTCAATAATCATTTTTTTCCAATCTATAAATATATAAGAAAAGCTATGGTGAAAGTGAGCGAGAGAATAAGAAAAAGAAAGAAGAAAAAAGTGAACGAGGAAAGAAAAAATAAAAATATAAGTGAAAAAGGCACATTATTTACATTATTCAGACTATTGTACTCATCTTTGTAGCTATATTTATCACAACGTTTCGGCCGTTGTACGCTCCGGCCTTCTTCAGGTGGTTGGAATTTCGAACTGAACCCTTTATTTCGCTCACTGGGGTAGACTGTTCTAGTTCCACTTGCCATGTTTGATGGATGTCAGTTATCAGTTATCTCCTGCTAATTTCCCTCTGAAAGTTCTCCATTGCCTTAACCGGGTATTGAACTCACACTCTTTGGGTCCTGTCACTGGATCTAACCAACGTCTTTATCCACTGCGCCATGTGTCCTTGAGGAAATAAAGGGTAAAGTTCGAAATTCCAACCACCTGAAGAAGGCCCGGAGCGTACAACGGCCGAAACGTTATGATAAGTATGACGACAAAGATGAGGACAATAGTTCGAATAATGTAAATAATGTACATAATACCTCATCTCAGAAATATAGACAGATACTTGAAAATATGGCGACAAACGTTGTAAATAAATAATACCATCTCAAAAATATAGACAGATACTAAAGGGCTGAAACGTTGTAATAAATATGGCGACAAGATGAGGACAATAGTCCGAATAATGTAAATAATGTACATGATACCTCATCTCAAAAATATAGACAGATACTGAAAGGCTTGTGATAAATATGGCGACAAAGATCTCCGAATAATGAAATA